GAGAGAGAGAGAGAGAGAGAGATTGTACAGGATGAAACTTGTTATGACAGGGAATGAGGTACATATTCCTTTCAAAGATTTCTTGTTGATATTGCTGAACAAAACTACTCCACTGAAAGGGCCATAATGAATCAAAGATTAATGATTTTTTTTAAATTTCAATATTAGTGTCCCATATAGCAGATCTATATATTGAGAATAGAAGTGCAATATATATTGTCGGAAAATAACTAGTTCAATCATTATTATGATGACAAGTTCAATCATTATTATCAATGCCATTAGTGGAATTACAGCCAATATGTTTAGACAATTTTCGATTGCGGCAATTTATTTATTTTGTTTTATAATATGTGTGACCTAAACAGCCTCATGTGTATGGCGTGTACTATAAAACTGTAGTGTTTTTAGCCAAGTTAGCATGTCATGTTGCTCTGTGATGATTATCTCAAGAATTACACACTTTGTTTTGATATGTTTGGGCACATTTTAATTGGAATCATCTACTAAAAGTAACAAAATCCCATTTTTATATTCTGTTAATATTTCAGTACTGTGAAAATAGCTTTAACACTTTTGAAATGTAGTGTGTTTAAATCAATGTCACTTTTAAATCAATGCACCAATCAGAATCTAATAAGCACTATTTTCATACAGACATCCTTGTGTTTATATTAGCAACAATGTATAGGAGCTAATACTGCACCACTCTCCGTCAAGCGGTTTTTAATGGACAAACAGCCAACTTGTGTATTTTTGAGCAAGATACTCTACCATTCACATGCTTTTTTTAAATGTTATGCATCATGAATTTCATGAGCTCCTTTGTTTTCAACAATGATAAAATGTTTATTTGAACATATTATAATTATTTCTGAATGATAATGTGACACTGATGATTAATGTAAGAGCTGCTGAAAATTAAATGCAGAAATTCAGCCTTGGTGAGCATAAGAGACTACTTTCCAACCCCAAACTTATTTGAACGGTATTGTATGTGAATAAAACTAATATGCTTGTTGTATTCCACTAGTTGAGACTTTTCATCTGTATATATAACACTAGGGGTGTAACGGTAGACAGAAGTCACGGTTCGGTACATCGGTTTTGGGGTCACGGTTTGAAAATGCCATCGCCTATATTAATTGTAAAGTTCAAAGCTTTTAAACAGCATTCATTTGGTGTCAAATGAGCAGTTTTTTAATTAATTAGCTTATTACTTAGAAAAAACACGAAGCTTCATTATCAGTATCAGCCACAAGAAGCTGCTAATTATCAGTTATTCTTATCAGCCCCCCAATTTTTTTGCACTTCTTCTTGGACACAAATACAAAGACTTGAGTAAACACACTCAAACCTACACCCTCCATCTCTCTCCAAGGTGAGGTGAAATTCAAGATAAAGGAAAGCAAGAGTTAGACAGTTCTATTACAAGCCAAACAGAAGTTAAGTCTAAACTAAGAGAATGACTAACACAGAGGTGACCTAACAATTTAAACACCATCTGCTGCTATCAAGTATCAGAGTCCGGCTGACAAGACTTTACATTAAACTTTATCTCATAGAAAGAGAATGTAGGAGACCATTTATGGAGAAAGAATCCTGCCCCCCCCCACCCCCCTTCTGCAGTAAGCCGGCCATATCGAGTGAGTTTGGAGTACAGGCTCTCGCTCTCTCTGGCTGAGATGAGATTTAGAGCAGGAGAAAAAGAGCTCAGGTTTCAAATGAGGAAAGCACCTGGGGCTCTGGAAAACCCATTCTTAGAGAGGAACTACCTGATGATGGGGGGATTTGAGTATGTCTGTGTGTGTGTATCTTTGCCTTTCCTTTTAAAGTTAGAGAATGTAGGAGACCATTTATGGCGAAAGAATCCTGCCCCCCCCACCCCCCTTCTGCAGTAAGCCGGCCATATCGAGTGAGTTTGGAGTACAGGCTCTCGCTCTCTCTGGCTGAGATGAGATTTAGAGCAGGAGAAAAAGAGCTCAGGTTTCAAATGAGGAAAGCACCTGGGGCTCTGGAAAACCCATTCTTAGAGAGGAACTACCTGATGATGGGGGGATTTGAGTATGTCTGTGTGTGTGTATCTTTGCCTTTCCTTTTAAAGTTTCAGAAGGTCAAACTGTACAACTTCCAAGCAAAACACAACTATTATTGCAGCTAAAGGAGGTATAGGATAGAATAAGAAAGCATTTTGATGAGAAAAATTGAAATCTGACTTTTGTGTATTAACAAGTATGACCACATTTTGTACCATTGTTGTGATCCTTTATGAATCTGACATAAGAGTTCTCAAGAGACCTCCAACCTAACATCTGGATCCAAATTCCTAACCTTTAAAGGGGTCATATGATGTTGCTAAAAAGAACATTATTTTGTGTATTTGGTGTAATGAAATGTGTTTATTCTTTATGCACCAAGAGCTTGTAACACTCCAAAGAGAAATGAAAAATTGAAATCGCATCATATGACCCCTTTAAGTAACATTTCTTGCAATGCACCATCAGCACCAAGATAAGCTGTGTCAGATCCTTGTGTTTATTTGCAACTGCCGAGCAGCTCTCTCTAAAGGGAATGTCAGCCAGGGAACAGCCATCATTTCATGACAGGGAGATAAAGAGCTGCTTAAGCACTATTAGTGACAACAGATCACATGTACAAACATCTGAAAACAAATGGGTAACTATCCAGGAGGGAGGGAGATAACGACAATATATTATCTCCGTGTCCATTATAGCATAATAATGGAGTTTGTCACTCAAAACCTCTACAGGTTTCAAACTCTCAGTCTTTAGCCCTTTTGGAAATAATTTATTTTCTAGGTGATGTTTGAATTGCAACTGAAGAGTTCATTTGCAAAAACAGATAACTTTGTTTTTAACAATTTTCAAAAATCATGTTTTTTCATTGTGCATTCCAATTAATCTCAATCAAACTGCAGTTGGGTTATTTTGATTAACTAAAAATAACTAAAAAAATACAGCTAACTAACAATAAAAACATGATAACATAATAAAAACTGTCTCAGGTTACGTATGTAACCCTGGTTCCTCGAGGGAACGAGACGCTGCGTCGGAAAATGCTAGGGGATCGCCTTCTGTGACCACGCTCTGAATCACATGTGAAATCAGTCCAATAGCTGAGCAGGACGTCACGGGCTGTTGGCAGAACGATCTCCCGAGGGCCCTGGGGGAGATGGGCACCGTGTAATGCGGTATGAACCTCTCTGCCCCAGAAGGGCTTGCCCTCGCTAGTCCTACACTCAAATAGTCAGGACCGTTTGGTCGAGGACCTCTTAGCCTGAAGGACAGTCCGCAGATCCAGCTTAGGCTTCGAGGCCCCCAACCCAGAGCGCTGCTTCTGCCTCCGGTCCCGACGCGGGGGAACACGGGCGGCAACGCTCTGTTTTTGCGTCTCCCTATGTGAGGAGCTGGTACGCGGTGGGGACTGCTGCCGCCCAGCAGCCCCCAGAGCTGAAATACGGCAAGGGAGGAACCGCTGAAACGCCGCCGCTTGTTTACGAGCCTCCTGGTCCCTGTTGACGACTGAATTGACAGCGTCACCGAACAGGCCAGAAGGCGAAAGCGGGGCGTCGAGGAGGAAGACCCTGTCTTTCTCTTTCATATCATGGCACCGAGACGCAGCGTCTCGTTCCCTCGAGGAACGATTCAGAGCGTGGTCACAGAAGGCGTTCCCCTAGCGTTTTCCGACGCAGCTCAAGTTCCTGAAGAGGAACATGATTTTAGAACCTTTAAAAAACTGGGGTTGTCTGTTTTTGCAAATAAACTCTTCAGTTGTTAACTATTGAAATTCCTTAACTATAATATGATTAAACAAATGTAGCAATTTGGATCAAAATACAATCCCACTTCCTCCAAAATGTTTACAGAGGTAGTTAGAGTTAAATACTTATTTAATTTGTATATGGCTTTTCACATAGCGCTTGACCTTGCGTTACCGTCATTCTAAACTCCGCTTTTAACCCCAGGTAAAGGTACGTTTCATACTTTTCAATTTAGAAGCACAGAAACCCTGTGTTATGAAAGCAGTGTTTTAGCTGTGTTAACCTTGCATTTCGTTGCCAACAGTGTACAGTACGATATATGCGTTAGAATGTTACGGCTACACGTTTAGCAGCCAACAACCAATCACGTGCCTCATATTCACATGATTTGGTCAGGCACGGAAACATAGAATGTTGTATAAACGTTTCGGCACTTGAGAGGAAAAAATGTCAAATGATGACATTAGTAAAGAATGTAAAGAAGAGACCGTTTCATTCCTAACTTTATAGTCAGAAAAGTCCATTGTGTAAAACTTGATAATACTGTTGCCGCTATATACTTTACTTTAAACTTTATCTCACAGAAAGAGAATGTAAATTTTGATAATAGTGTCGCCAATATATAATAAGAGGATGTGCAATGCTAGAGCCATTAAGTAAATGTTGCATGCCACGTTCGTCCAATCAATGACACTTACACCGCAAATATGCTAATAAGAATATAAACCCTGGGTTTAGGAATGTACAGTGTGAAACATCAGCTTATGAATACCCAGGATAAATTGTTAACCCCGGGTAAAGTATGAGCAGTGTTTAACGCAAAGCAAGATAACCCAGGATTCTCTTTACCTGGGGTTTAGAATGATTAACTATTTCAGATGTGAAAAGCTCTTATGAGATCCACAAGTTAGCCTGTACAACAAAAAGTCCCGTAACCTTCTCAGAGAAAAGTAGTCCTGTCCGAACAAGGCTTTTGAAGGACACCATTTGTGTTTGTGAATTCATGACACAGTGTATACGCTGCAGATCGAGGACAGAGCAAGTACAAAAAAAGAGTATAAAACGGTTATACAGTCCAGCACAAGAACGAGAGCTTCAATATTACTCCTCTGACCTATTTGACTCAAACGCTCTCATTTCTGTTAAGTCTACAAGAGAGAAGCATAACAGGAAATTCTAATAAGGAAGCTGATGTGTAGTCTAAAGCAATGCAAACTGACTTTCTCATCCCAACATACAGTACCAGAGGAAACAGAACCCGTTAGCTTATATCATTGTCATTTTTCATCTACGCACGGCTCAGTAAAAGCATTGTCATAAAATGGATTTTTACTGTGGCTTGAGGTCTCACCAAAAGCACTTAAAGTTATTGTTAATAAAAAATTTAACAGCGTTTCTGTGTAAAAGCACAAAGCAGAGTGTAATCCGCTGAAATGTTTATTTGCAGCGAGATGGACGTAACTTAAGGAGGAAGTGAAAATCTCTCTAGTGACATTATTGTGATTCCTTCATGATGCTAGCGTACTGTAAATGTTAGACCAAATAACAGTCAACGGCCAGGAATTTGAGGCTTGTAGTGACCTGCTAGAATACTTCTAGAAGTTCTGCAATTCTGTCTTATTGTACTGTATGTTTTATTGCTTTTAGATACAGGATGAACAGGCTCCATCATCTGAGAGAGAGCGAAAATTTTGTTTTTTTCTATAATTGACCATGAAGGGTCATAGAAAATGATGGAAAATAACTTTCCCTCTCTTAGAATCTTAGAAAAAATAGATACCAAGACAAACAAAAGAGGAAAGATAAAAAATTTACTCTGTAGGTTGGATGAGTTGTACTTTCCCAAGGCGAAGGATGACAGGCCCTCTCGGGTTTCGGATCTTCTTGACCTCGCTGTTCTTCAACAGGGAGAAACTGCGCGCCAGATTGAAACCTGCAGATCGGGCAATCAATCCATTTACCACCCCTCAGGCTAATAAATCAGTGAGCTGCTAGTTGACATGTCCTATGCTATGTATCAACTCTGCTGTGGCAGTTTTCAATTCATGTAAGGCCAAAGGAGGAACCTTAACACTGGGAGCATTTATATCTTTCAGCTCATGAACAGAGTCTGTTCCTTAGACTGCCTTTATGGGCAGTTGGGCTTTTATTAAGTGTATTAAAAGGCTTGAATGATTGCAGATGGCAGTACATTCACATAATTATGTAGAGTGAACTTCTTTCCCATTTTTTGGATATACTATGCAAAATAATGGGCCAAATTTAAGTGTTGTTGTGTACAAAGCTGAAGAAAATAGAAGTCAGCATTGAAATGTTTCTTTAGCACCAAATTAGAATATTAGAATGATTTCTTAAGGACTGTGTGACACTAAAGACTGGAGTAAATGGCTGCTGAAAATTCAGCTTTGACATCATGAATTATGGAGACCCTAAGGGGACATGATGATGCAAAATAAAATAAATACTTGTGTGCTTCCTCGAGAAACTTTGCGTATACTCGTAAAACTTTTGTGATGGAAATAAAATGAGGTGGGGAGAAGAACCTCAGAGAATGAGAAAGCATTTTCCCACCATCTCGTATTTTTTGCCACCTTAGAAAACAAATTTTTTTTTTAATAAATTAAAATTGAAATTGGTTAAAAATGTTAGAAATTGTAATATTATTTTACAGTATTCTTGTTTTACTGTATTTTTAACAAAGTTTGAAATCAATTGTCAATCCCTATTTAATGTATTACTTATAAAAAACATCACAGAATCCAAGAACAAGTCCTGTGTGAATGGCCCCTAAATAGTGGTTCAACATTATGACATTATTAAAATCATGACAATACGGATAGTTCACTAAAAAATGAAAGTTTTTGTCTACTCATTTACAGTAGCTCAAACCAGTGAACAATAACTTAAATTTTGGTCTGTTGCTCACACAAAGCTATCATATAAAAACACTTGGAATGTAGCGTACATGTAATATGGACTACTTTTATTGTATTTTTAGAGCTTGACAACCTTCCATCACTATTCATTTCGTTTATGGAAAAGAGCAGGTTGGACATTCAACTAAATATCTCTTTTTGTGTTCCTCAAAAGATCAAGAACATCATGTGCTATTGGACAAACTGAGATGAGTAAATGATAACAGATTAGGGCTGCACGATAAATCGCATGCGATATTTAATGCGCATCTTGTCAGAAAGCCGGTTCTGTAATCAGCTGTATATCTCCATCACGTGCGTGCTTTCACATGGAGCAGCATTAACTACACAGAGCCGTTGTTCACTGACGAGCTGCGCAAAAAATCGCGCGAATATGAACGTGGTTTTGCGCAGATGCGCGTTAAATATCGCATGCGATTTATCGTGCAGCCCTATAACAGATGATGATTTTTTTTCAAGTTTCATTAAGGGAGGTCCATTAGCAGCAGTATTTACCTGTAATGTTGTGTCTGGCAGTTTGAGGAAACTTCCATTCTTCTACCTGTATGGACGGGCAGCTGACACCTGTAGAAACAGAGAAGCAGTCAAGTTGCAGCAGATTTTGTCCTGCCACCGGTGAAAGGTTTTGCATAAAACAACTTGATTTTACACCCGATCATGAGGAGTCCTGTCAAAACTTGGTCCTGAACATGAGGTGAGCAAGTTGAGGGGATCAAAGATTGTCTGAAGGGAGACAGACACTATCTAAGATATAAATGGGGCTAAAAATAACATGCTCTTGTCTGAAAGAATCACTCTCACTGCCTGGTGGCAAAGACAATGACAGGTGGTCTGACGCACTCTCGACTGATGGACGACATATGAAAAAGACCTAACTTTAAAAAGGTTCAGCCAAAGTACATCCTGTGGTATGGTACATCCGGTGGAATTCAACTGTTTGAACTTTTAGCAAGGATGTCACATATCTTCTTTGGCTCACTTAGTGCTCTGTGTGTGTATGCATAAACAAATATATTCAAAATAAATAACAAAGGAAATCTGATCTTGACAGCAAATGATCACCATCCAGTTTACTGACAACCATCATGACTTTTTGCTCATAAATATTGTACAACTTGATGTAAACAACTTTTTGAGGAACATGTCACATTTAAAATCCACTCAAAATATCATTTTGATTCATTATTATTCTGTATATATATCTTTCCATGTCTTTTTCCATGATCCACAAACACTGAAAAGTTCAGATTAGGACAAGGCATTTGAAAAAGAAGACTTTTTCTTTGTGAAGAAGCATGTCAAAGGCGCCTGAGATGAGAAAAGTTTTTAATCAGCACGGTTTGATTGGCTCAAAGACACGTACATCAGTCAAAGTGCATTAGCAAGTTACTGCTGTGTAGCGAAACTGTCACTTCGATATTTCAGAGATCAGATGAGTATGAGAAACTCAAGCAATAACAGAGAGAAGCAGCTCAGAGCCGTCTCGTTGAGCTTCTAGTGGCAGAGGAGAGCTGGTGATGGGTTTTCTAACTCGTATTCTTCCCCTGTCAAGTTTTCAAAGAGCTCTTTTTAAATCTACAACACCTGAATCTCTTCACAGCTAACTCAGCACACACAGATAGGGAGGAAATGTCTCCAACAAAAACTTCTCTGACAGATAAAGAATTCATTTTGAATTGTTCTCGCATTTTCACTTTTTGAAATCAGACAGACTCGGCTAAATCCCTTTTCTTCTTGGTTCTACAAAGCCCCTCTGCTTTCAGATGGCAAAAAGGCGGGATTAAGATGCGGAGATGTCAGGGAGGAGATTGGAAAGCTGGAGGCGGCTCTCGCTCCTGAGGCAATGATGGAAAGTTGAGTGCAAGGGGAGGAGAGGTGCATTTCAAACGCATGGAGAACAGACACGTCATCAAGCAATGCAGAGAGTGCTAGAGTTTGAAGTGGAGAGAACATTTCTGGGGTTTAAGATTTCATAGGTTAAGATTCAGCCTTCTTTTAATTTAGAGATACGTACCTGTACGGGCTACTTCACCAGAGACACTTGTGAGGTTCTTAGAAATAAAAAATCCTTTATTTACCAGAAGAATGAAACATCCATTTTAAAAAGGGCAGAAGAAAAAAGTGCTTCACCTTGCCTGGATTCAGTCAAAACGTCTCCTCATTAACATTATCTCGAAAGCTCATAAAAGTGATATACTGCATCCTACTCTTGTTCAGAATCACTCCCGCAGCCTCTGCTCTATTTGTCCCTGATTGCATATTGTTTATTGTATATTTTTAGGTCTCAGAGTTGGCCTGGAGAAACTCATTAAGGAGAAAGTCAATTGGGGATTTGCACAGCTGGGGGTGAGAAAAGTCATCCTAGAGACCTGCCATCCACCCTGTGAAACAAACCCAGGATAAGTGGAGGTGGCTGAATGTGGGAAAAGGTTTTTTGGGGGTTAGTTTGTTAGCTTGTTCAATCATGCATCACTTCTGAGCACAATTTTACATGGTGATGAAATGGCAAATGATGCAATTAGAACCGAAATGCAAAAGAAAGAAGTCATATAAACGTCACATAAAAATGTCTGAATACGATATTTCCGAATATAATATTTCCGAACATACACGAAATAAGTAAATTGCATTCATTTTGATCTAATGTTGACTTTAACAATGACCAAATGTGGTCTGATTGAATTCATCATTTAAATCTCATTCTTAACTGACTATGGAATGTCTGAAAAAGCGGTTTAGGCTTAAACATAGGATAGCAGTATAATCATACTCTTAAACTATACAATATGTTTGTCATAAGAAGCACTAATGGGAACAGATTTCAGCAGAAGAGTGGTCAGACTTGCATTATTATAATAATAAGATAAAACGTCTCCAGGTTACGAATGTAACCATGGTTCCCGAGGGAACGAGACGCTGCGTCAGAAACGCTTTGGGAACGCCCCCAGCATGACCATGCTCTGAATCACATATAAAATCAGTCCAATAGATGGGCGAGACGTCATGGGCGGGTGACATTGCGACCAGGAAGCTATAATTAGGAAGCAGTCTCTACACGAATGACTGCACCTCTAAAGACCCCTCTGTCAAGCTCCTGAAGTTCGCAGACGTGTCACGGCGCACTCTCTCCAGAACTCCCGGGAGCAGAGTGATCGGGGAAAAGGCATACAGACGAAGCCTCGGCCACGTCTGTACCATAGCGTCCAGTCCGAGAGGAGCTGGATGAGTCAGAGAGAACCAGAGGGGACAGTGCGATGTCTCTCGAGTCGCAAA